TGAACTAAGCCCAGGCTTACAATCATTCCACATACATCACTATTGAACTAAGCTCAGGCTTACAATGATTCCACATACATCACTATTGAACTAAGCCCAGGCTTACAATGATTCCAAATACATCACCATTGAACTAAGCCCATGCTTAGAATCATTCCACATACATCACTATTGAACTAAGCCCAGGCTTACAATGATTCCACATGCATCACTATTGAACTAAGCCCAGGCTTACAATCATTCCACATACATCACTATTGAACTAAGCTCAGGCTTACAATGATTCCACATACATCACTATTGAACTAAGCCCAGGCTTATAATCATTCCACATACATCACCATTGAACTAAGCCCAGGCTTACAATCATTCCACATACATCACCATTGAACTAAGCCCAGGCTTATAATCATTCCACATACATCACCATTGAACTAAGCCCAGGCTTACAATGATTCCACATACATCAACATAGAACTACGCTCAGGCTTATAATCATTCCACATACATCACCATAGAACTAAGCCCAGGCTTATAATCATTCCACATACATCACCATAGAACTAAGCCCAGGCTTATAATCATTCTAGCGCCGATGAGGGGTAAGAAAATCTCCCCTTCCGGTCACTCTGACCATGAGGATGAGATCCTCTCTCGCGTCCTTGACGAACAACTGAACGTTGGCTTCCATCCCCCCACCCTTTTTTTGTTTGTTCCCTATGTTTACATTTAACAGATCCTTATTTTAAAAAGTATACATCATTATTTTTACAAATTTAATTGTTACTTTAAAAAAATACATCAACTTTTTCCCCTTTATTATTCGATTTTTTTTTTACCCTTAAATTTATTTTTCTTTTCTTTTTGTTTTTAACCAGGAATGATCTGCCTTTGTTTTCTTCTTCTCGATGGGAATATTCCTGTGGTAAAATGACTAACCTTGACCTTGGGGACTACACGCTGAGTTAAAATCCCGGACCAAATTCCTAAAGAATTAAATTTTTCCTTTTCAGTTTTTCTCGGCTATCTAAGATACATTCTTGTATTTCTATGAGTTAACTGGTTTTTGAGATATTTAAATAAAATTGTTTGGGACCCCACCCCCCCCCCCAACCAACCCATGAACAAATGTGAAAACTCCCTAAATTTCTTAATATTAAAATATCCTATAATGATGAAGACGTATAAATATACTAAGGTATACGGTATAGTGACAAAAATCCCCCTTTCCAACTAGATATAATTCATAGCATGATACGCTAGTGTTCCCGAGAAATAAATTATTGAACTTATAACTAAAGCACACCTAGTGGTTCCCACTATTTAAGTATTCTGAGCAATGGAAAGACGCTGGTCAGCTGCAGGGTAGCTTATACCCAAGCCCTGACCCCGAGGTTACATTCCTCGTTGGGCTAGGAATAAATTTCCATACAATGTTTTGGGCGCTACAGACTGTTTTCGGTCACTACACTGCCACAAATGCACACGTGTGTTATTTCATCACTAACATGTTTCATCCTCATCCTCATGTCCCTTAGTCCTTGGACCGTCGGGGCGCCTCAGATGGCATATGAACCATCCTCCTCCATTCCTCTCTGTCTTCAACACTACAATGTTTATGAGCATGAAAATGATGAATCTCAAGAAATGAATAAACTGAAAAAGACTAGACTTCTAAGTTTCCCTAAATCTTAAAAAAAAAATGAAACAAAAATAGTAATGGAAATATTACCCTTCACTACGATTATTCAATATTATGACAACATTGATAAGCATGATAATGATAAAACAAAATGAGTATCACAAATGAATGAATTAAATAAACCTAGGGTTCCATATTTTATTTTTGAAAAAATTAAAACAAAAAATAATGATGTAAATATTACCATTCCATTACTTTTGTCTTCCAGAAAACTATTTACATTTGCCTCGGCCTAATTCATATTTAATGTTTATAAACATTGGACAATTAAGGTCATTATGCAGGTGTGAGCTTTTGTCGAAGAGTATTAGTCATATAACATACGATGACAGCAAGACGTCGAGCAATAATGAATATCGGATTGCCGGCCTAGAGACAGTATGACTTCTGGTAGATACCGAAAACCTTAATCACTTTCGGCCAGATGGCCGAAAGTCTCAATCACATCGATCCGAAAACAAAATTAATCCGAAAGTTAACTTTTCTGTTTCTGCCGAAACTAGGCCGAGAGTCAACTTTTCTGTTTTCGATCTAAACCGAAACTAGGTTGAAAGTGATCACTTGGCAACTTTCGACACCGAAACCGAAGCCGAAATTCGGTCGGTCTGTATTTGATAGTATAGCAAATCAAATAATTATCAAATGCAGAAAATTTTCAAAAAATGAATTTTAGTATGAGTGTAATTTTTTTTGTAAAGTTCTAATTTTGTTTTTTAAAGATAGTCTCCCTAGTTTGGTGTAATGCTGGTGTGGTGATTTGTGTTCAATACCAGCTAAGCCATCTAAGCAATATTTTTTTTCCAAAGAGCATTTTCGCTTTTGCCATTTTTTATTTTTATATAATGGAGAAATTCAAAACATGGCCTCATTTGGGGGTGGGGGGGTGGATTTCGCTTGGCCATGGGCAACGTGGACTGGCGCCATTGATTACTGCTCCCTTACACCAGACACCAGCTTCTTATAAAAATGAAGAAGCCGTGCACTGTTTTATTTGCAATGAAGCGCTGTACATAAATATATAAACTATAATAAACGCCAGGCAACTCATTTGTAACGTTTACTTTTATAGACATGCGATTAATTATTGTAAATATTGTTGTAGACATTGTACAGAATCTTTATTTATTGAGTATTACGATACGGTTTTGTACAATTTTGAAATTGTGACGTAGCCAGCTGGTCTGAAAAGAAATTTTCCTATTTTGGAAGTCCCATGGTAACCGTGACTGCGGTACTATTATATATTTTGCAGTTTTGGGGGGAGGTAATTCGTCATACTTTGGCAAATGTTTCTTTAATTTTTTTTTAAAGGTGTAGCGTCCCTTGTGTCGGAAACATTAAAAACAATCGCTTTCTGTGACATATTCCTCAATTCAAATTCGAAGATATTTGAATTAATTTCAACTGCTGCGAGCTGAGTTCGTTTCTGAGTTCTCTCCCCCCTCCTCCCCCCATTTCAGTGCGTGTTTTCCTTGCTTTAATAAATTAATTCAATTTAGACTTTTACATTGTTCAGCATTCTTGTAACAAATTAGGGAAATTTATGCCCAAAAATATCCTTGATTTTCTTCTGATTGTAAGGATCGGGAATATTTTATTTTAATATACTTTCTACCTTAAATTTGTTTATATTTATATGTTAAGTTGTTAAAGAAATGCTTAATGAAAACAAACTCATCCATTGATCCATTGACTATCACATTTAGGCCTACAGTATCTTGGTTTGAATCAACATTATCAGCACCCATTTCCGTTTCCAAACCATCCACGTCTTGTACTTGTCTGTTCTATAAAATGCATACTTCTGATATTGAAGTTTTCCGTAACAATGGTAGGCTGGGGAACGTCTTTTAATGAACCTTGGTCATCATTTGGTTTCTTGACATATCGAAGCATGGATCCTGGTAGTGAGTTTAGTGAGTCACATCTTTTATTTTTTGTTTTCGGTGCTGGAAGCCAATAGACCGTTTAGATTTGTGCACGCCGTGTGGCATGAAAAAGGATTAATTATTAAAAGATATTAGAAAATTTTGTAAAATATTATTCTGTTAACCCTATAAATGGGTAAGAAGTTTTTTAATTTTTAATTTTTTTTTTTTTTTAATTTTTTTTTTTAATGGATTCGATTCATGTACAATACTTAAAATTGCACGACCAATCGTATCAATATAAAGCTTTATCTTTCAGAATGTAGATAAATATAGCTTCCTGTAACTTACTAAAGTTACCAAACACTTCAATTAGCGTTGAATCATATTGAAATGGTGTTTTTCTGACCTAATTAGGATCACCTAATTTCTTACCCTTCAACCTTAAATTTTTAATACAGCACGCATTTGGCTTGGTTTCTTGTCTGGCAAATTTAAATGTGATCGGATAACCTTTTATGAAATTTCGTTAGACCGAGCAGTTTTTTTTTCAATTTGGTATCACCCCTTGAAATAGTGACACCTGGTGCGGTCCGCACCCCCTAGCTACGCCACTGTCCCCCACTTATCTGCACGCAGTAAATGAAAATACAATCGAAAGCAACAACAAAAAATGCGTAACATATTTTGATTATTATGCCAATTACATTTTATGTACTAGTTTTAGAAAAAAAATATTTCTAAATCGTCAATTAAGCACTCAATTTCAATGGATTTTTTTTAATGTGTTAAATTATATCGAAGATGCAATTTCTGCTACAGGCCCGCACTAGCTCAATCCGGCCCTGCATAATAATTGGGCTGTGTAGATTCCACTGGTAAAACTTAACTGGGGTCAAAAGCATAACCCCCAGGGTCCAAGCCCACAACTAGAGTAAATTCAGTTTATATGTAGCCTAATGTAGAGTGGGTGCACAGGAGGCAGAGCCAGAGCTTGTCATGGGTGCCATGATGTCTAATTTTGGCACAGATTATAGGATAGGTGCACTTCCCTCACCCAAATGTCCTCCCCCCACCCCCACCCATTGATCAAATTGTCTGAAATAAACACCGATGGAAAACCTTACTCTCAAATGAGGGGGGGGGGGAGGGGGTTGAGAAAATTGTGTAATGTGACAAAGTGTAGCCTAAGTTTAAGTTTATTAAAGCGGAGCAGTTGCACTTTTTAAAAAAAATATTGTAATTAAAATGGAAACTATATTTGGTTATCAAAAATCCATAAATAATAGCTTCATTCGTTTCTATGATTGTAAAAAGGAGAATACTCAGAATTGATAAACAGCCTATATAACCTAGGGCTGATTTAATTCGATAATGATAATCAGATTAGTAATACAGTGTCCGGTTAACGCCATTAAGCCACACCAATAGACATCTTTAATCTCGGCCTACTTTCTTATCAAAATATCATTGCCCAGTGAACTTTAAACTAAAAAACATGGCAAACTTTATGAACGCCCGAGTTATTCTCCAGTCTCGACCAGGTAAATGCTTGGTGTTATGAAATTCTTTAATAATTGAACCTAAATTTATAACGATTGTGGGCTTGAAAAGATGTACGATTTGGAATTATATTGCTTTCCTTTGGCAATGGGATCGGGAACATTTTTCGTGCAAGGAGCCATGTATGACATTTTGAGAATTTCACATCAGCTTTCCAAGTCTATACACGGGCGCCCGCAGAAAACTTTCTAAGGGGGGGGGGGGGGGGGGCTTTTTTTTTATTTTTTAATGTTGTTTTTTTTTATTTCTCTTTATTTTCTTTTTACTTTAAAAAATTTTTTTATCTATTTTTGTCTAAAAAAAATTTATTACCCCTTCCCCCCCCCCCCCCCTCTGAGGGCGCCCATGAGTCTATACCAAACATTTTAAAGATCCTTCACATTTTTAATACAACTTATTGTCATATATGGATAGGATCTATATGTCTCTTTAATGAAAAGGCGTAAGGGAAGATATATATCATTATCAAGACAAAAGTTGTTTTTTTCGCCATTATTTAATTTTGTATTTTATGTCAAAGTCACCAAAGAAATCAAATACATCCCTTATCTACATCAAGTTCTGAGTTTTGTCAAATAAATTTGTATAATTTTTTTAAATTTGCAGTGACTGCCTGAGCATGACTTATCCATTTAGTTGAGAAAATCAATAGAGCAGCATAAATAGAAATAGCCAAAAGTCAAGGAAAATTCATTTTAGTTAGTTAAAAATGATTATTTCTCTACAGGAGAAGCTAATAAACCATCAAAAGATAATTTTGCTTACGAAGAAATCCCTTACCCAAATAAACAGTTACAAGACGGAGAAGTGCTAATTGAAAATTTGTATCTGTCATTAGATCCTGCTTTGGTAATATCTTTCTAATATATATATATATATATATATATATATATATATATATATAATATAATTTTTACAGTAATCTATTTAATCTATATATTATATATGTATCCATATACTGCAGAAAGGCAAATTGGTAATATCTTTCTAATATATATATATATATATATATATATATATATATATATATAATATAATTTTTACAGTAATCTATTTAATCTATATATTATATATGTATCTATATACTGCAGAAAGGCAATTGGTTAATCCCAAAAACCAAGTTGTTTAATAATCACAAACCAATTTGGCATTGTCTTCCAACAGTTAATTGTTTTTAGATTTATTTAAAAATCTTTGATCACACTGTATTAAAGCAGTTTTAGTTCTTGACATCTCCATTTATCTTCTCTAAAAATATATCATGGCCCTGTATACCTTTTAATCCATCAGCGATGTCGCATGAATGCCAACAGTGGTGTAGAGTACATGAAAGCTTGGGAAATAGGTGAGACAATCCATGGACTTGGAGGTATAGGGCGGGTAACAGCCACTGCGGCGCCTGACTTCAGTGTTGGAGAGTTAGTAGGCTTTACCTTTGAGTGGCCCTGGCAGTTATATTTCACCATTTCCTCTCAACAAATACAAAAGGTTTGTAAATTGTTACCGTGACATATTGGTGTATATGATTTCCTAAAAACAAGTAAAATGCATGTAAAACTTAAACATGGGATTTATTAAGTGTTTGAAAACCTGTGGTAATTAAGAGGTATAAAAATTAAAGATAATGTAATGTTAAAAGTAAAAATAATAATATTTGAACAAGCCAATTTTGGTAATGTTAGATGCCATATTGATACAGTGAAGAAACAGTTACAATGTGATGAAAACGCAAATCAGGAAATCTTAAATTCTGGCTGTTGTTTTCTTCTATCGGAGTGTTTAGATTCCTAAAGAGATATGTAGTCTCTCGCCAACTCTCTACTTGAGTGTGTTTGGTCTCACTGGACTGACTGCATATTTTGGAATAAAAAAAAGATCTTTCATTTGCAAGGGGAGCAAACCAACAATGGTAATAAGTGGTGCTGGTGGCTCTACTGGGTCATTGGCTGGACAGGTAATATATATTTCCAATCATATCTTTAGGTTTGCAGGATGAGTGGAGAAATGTAAGAATGAAAACAAAAAAAGATTAGTGGAAGCCAGAGCAAAAAAAAATAATAATAATATCAGAGTTGTCAGAGAGGGCAACAGAGGGTTATCGTTGTGGGGCAGGGAATAGAAAGGCAGGTGAGTATAAAGAAAACATGAAATTTGACAATTCTAATGGTGGGAGGGGGGGAGGGGTAAATGGGGGTAAACACGGCTTCCTATGATGTAACCAGATCTTCTAGTAAAATGTTAGTATAAAACATTGAGATAGAATTATCCAAACCAACTGCAGCAGAACCTAACATCAAACAAAAATATGCTCAGCTAATCATCCGTATAGAGTTAAAGACAACAATTATTAAAAAAACGACAGATTGCTCTGAAACAGGAATTTTCTAAATCTAGAAACAAAGCAGAAGGTTGGTTTATAATATATTAAATATGTGTGCCAGTCTTTTTGCCGAGCGGCCTGAGACAGATCTGGCCTGCATTTTCACTCTATGACTATTCCATGAAATTTATGCCATATTGTCCCTAACTCAGATTTTAGACAAGGTATCCATTAATCAAGTAAATGAATTTGAGGTCATGTATTATGAGAGTAAATCAGTGGTTCTCAACCTTTCTAATGCCATGACCCTATAATACAGATCCTCATGTTGTGGCGACCCCCAACCACAAAATTATTTTCGTGGATACTTCATAACTGTTGAGTATATGCGTTTCAGATGGTCTTAGGTGACCCCTGGGAAAGGCTCATGCGACCCCCAAAGGGGTCGCGACCCACAGGTTGAGAACGGCTGGAGTAAATATTTATGACAAATTTATGAGGCTGAGGGGAGGAGGTGGTGGTAAAAAATCTTCCAAAATAACAGGACATTATTTATAGATGGCCCTAAAGTAAACTGACCATAATTGTATAGTTACCATTAGATTCAAAATTTAATGTTTTACAATCTACCACCACAGAGAATTTACAAATATATATCATAGTTTCTGGAATACTTTTGTTAATTTTTTGAAAACTTTACATTAATATATCCATTATTAATATTTTCATAAACAGATTAGACAAGATATTCAAAGGCATGTACTATTTTAGTGCTTCATCTCAGATAGCCAAGGCTGAAGGATGTGGTATTTTGATTGGTATCTGTGGCACTGACGACAAATGCCAGTGGCTGACATCAGAGTTGGGATTTGATGCTGCCATTAACTACAAGACACAGTCAGTGTCAGAAAAGTTACAAGAACTTTGTCCAGGTGGTGTCGATATTTACTTTGATAATGTTGGAGGTGACATCAGTAACGAAGTTATTAGGCAGGTGAGGGCATGCTACTTTATTGGCATCAATTTTTTTCACCACCATCTGTAAAAGCCAAAACTCACAGAATTTAGTGTGAGCACATACAAGTTAAAGAAATTGAATTTTTAAATTAAAAATTATTAGTACAGATTCCGTTTTTCTTAAAATTGTCCAAAATTTTAAGACAAACAATTTTAAGATCATTTTGCTTTTAAAATTTAAGTTCATTTAACCCACCCTGCAAATTACCTATGTAGTGCAGTATTCATTTTAGATGCCTATTACTTACAATTTGGTTCAATTTTTTTTGTAGTGAATAAAAATGTGCAGGTTGTTCTCTGAATTTCTCTACTTCAGATGAATACAAATTCTTACATTGTGTTATGTGGCCAAATTGCCATGTACAATAAAGATGTGCCTTACCCTCCACCCCTACCTGATGATATTGCAGAGATCCTAAACCAGAAAGGCATCAGCAGGTTAGTGCTAACAGAACTTGGACATTTTTCATGTATTATTTAGAAAGGAAAATTTGTTTCTGTGAATAAGTTATATATAAGTTATATTCTGGTAATCAAATGTTGTGAATAAGAATCTTTTAGGATATACTTCTTTGAACCCAATTGTTTCTGAAAGATGTTACATTTACTTGAAAAGGGACAGGTATCTTGTACTGCAATATGAAAAAGAATTTGACAGTGCTGTGAGTGACCTTCTAAAACTGTACATATCAGGGAAAATCAAGGTGACTACAAACTATGTAAACATGATGGGTTTTTTCTGCAAAATTATTGATTTGATTTTTTTTTTTAAAGGAATATTGATGCTTCTTTCCTTTAAAAGTTTTAAGTTTAAAAAAAATAAAGATAAATAAATGTTAAAAAATATATATATAATATAATAACAAAATACCTGCATTAATTTTTTTTTAATATCACTTTTGACGGTTTTTAAAATTCTTTTTCTACATCTTCTTTGCTTTTATTTCTAGGCAAAAGAAACAATAGAAACTGGATTAATTAATGCTGGAAAAGCCTTTGTATCAATGATGGAAGGAAGGAACATTGGGAAACAGTTGGTCAAAGTTTCTGATAAAAATTGAGCTACTTGTCTTTCCTTTTGTTGGTTTGTTTTATTTCTGTTGCTTTGATGCTACATGGTCTTATAAGAAAGGGAAGATATCTGTCGCACTTACTCAATTAATGGTGTAACGAGGCCTTTCCCAAGTCAAGTAAATATGGCATAACCCATTTATTGACCCAGGATGCCTAAAATAAACATTCGAAGTAATAGGCTTCTATTGCTGCCCACAGATACTACTTACCAGCTAAGTGCTATTTCTTATTTTTATAACGTTTTTTCTGTTGTTTTGTTCGCTGACGAAGGCTTTCTGCCGACACGTTCGCTGTTTTGTTACGTTTAATTTTTCAGGTTTAACCATACTCTGTTTTACTCATTTTATTTTAAAGAAAAAAAGCAGACAATGCTCCTTCGTATTCATATAAACTGGGTGGTAACTATGTAGATAGTTTTAAAGAGGTAATTATCTTAAATTTAATTATCTAGCCATACATGCTCATAAATAAGATATTTATGTTTTTTATGTTACATAAGATTTAATAAATTATGAGAAATGCACACTTAGAATGTATGTGATTCAGTTTATCTTAATCTTTCCTGCCTCTTTGTCTTACCATAGCTGCTGATGACTAGGAAATGTAAAGAGTAAAACACCAATAGTGAATTCAACAAAATAGAAAATAACACATCCATCATTTAAAAAAGCATTTAATTTATTAATTTATAATAGTTGATAAGACATTCTCTAAGTTCATTTAACGTACATTCTATAAGTTCATTTAACGTACAATCATCAAAACACACATCAATTTAACTATTCCAGTATTCATCGTATAAGTTTTCTCTTTGCACATTTAAAGAAATCTTAGAAAACTTAAATCTACTTTCAAGTTAAACACATTTATTAGTAAAAAAATTATCTGAATATTTTTTTAACATAGTGGCACGTCAGCTTTTGTTTATTAAAAAGGTCACTGGGCCATTTCTGTAAGTTTTAAAATGACCTTATAAAGAATTAGCATTTGATAGGATGTGGAGGTGGGTTTATTTAATAAAGACCTCAAATTTATTGGAACTTAAAATGTAACGTAAAAAAAAAAATTGTATTCTTGATGGAACATTGAAGAAGTTCATTGAGTTTAGAACTTGACAATAGGTGACATCATAGTTAAATACTACAATGTCCTTAAAATGGAATGTATGTAATACACATATCAAGTCATAGCAATGGTACAAGATTACAACAGTAAGGAAAGAAAAATCTGTTAAAATGTCAAATTAAAAATAAATCATATCAAGAGTCTTAACTAAAATACTGAATATAGTTGCACAATATAAAACATGTATGGCGTTTGAATTGCACAATTTAGCCAATTCTTATGACAAAGATTTAGCAAATTGCATCATTCCATAAAACATGCACTATGTATGATAAACCTAATAAGTTTAAATGTAATTTAATATTCAATATTTAAAATCTCAATTATTTCACATATTTAAATAAGTTTAAATCTTAAGACAATAATTATCTATTTCACTATGAGTTGTTGTCAGCATTTGGGTGGCTGACTACCATTCAGTGAATAAAGAAGTATATAGTGTACCTGGAAAACAACTCTATATTTTAAAATCAAATCTTCAAAAACCTTGTTATCAATGGAAAATTTATTAAATTTAAATGAAGAAATTAAATATATAACATGATATGAAGTATTACTTAGTTCTAAATCATTGTGAGAGGAAAGGTTGCAAAAATCTCCCTCATTCTTTTATAACAATATTGTTTATATCTCTCAAATTCTTTATCAATTATCACAGATGCAATAAAGTTGCCATAATTTTTATTGACAAAAAATGGACAAAACTTATTAATTGCAATAAAAAAAAATATGGATCTACTGACAACTGAAAAAAGCAAATAACTAAAATATAGCAAACCCGATAAATTGAGACTCAGTCTGGTTTAGAAAGCTGATATATAAAATCACTGTAGGTTAACCTTGTTTAAAAATCAGCCATCTCTATTTGCAAATTGGATAATCTTTAGTGTTAGCAGTCCATATTTGGAAAATAAGGTTGTTTTTTTTTCAATTTTAAGTTAATGAGAGCTTAACTGTTCACTATTACTCTTACAGTCATGTTCATAATAAGCTGCCATTAAAATGTTCATGTGGCATCAGAATAAAATGACCAAACAGAAGGCATGTCTAAAAATTTAAATATCATGAGTGCAATGACCAAACAGCGCATTGTGTATGAGATCAAGCAACACGCTGCATTAATACCCAATCACAGAAATATTTTATCTTTAAGGTGATGTGGGTACCATAAAAGAAAAAAGTAAAATGAAGTAGTTGCCTTGGAGGTAATATTTTACAAATTCTAAAAATTTTGGCCAGTCATTGTTGTCATTCATCCAAGAGAATATTAGATATTAAAGTGCCCTTTAGAGGTTGTCAACTGGAAACTGCGGAGTAAAGCAACATTCTTAAATTTAGAGTATTTAGACCAAAAAGGTACTTTAAATTTCATAGAGCAGTTATGAAAAGTTATTCAAAGAAAATTGTGTGCGTGCGTGAGTGAGTGTGAGATAAATAAACAGTGCACAATTTCCGTGGCTGCCAGAATGGCACGGTTATATCTCTACCTGAAAATTGTAACTTTGTGTCTTTGAAAAAGATAGAACTTTCAATTTATCTAAGTTAAGTCAATAGATATTTAGTTTTTTCAAAGAACCAAATCAATAGAGGCATTTGCAGAATCTCCAATTTGGGCACAAAAGATTCTTCAACACTAGAATCTAAAACAGGGGCGGGAAACTATTTTGAATGGCTCACGCTCCCTTTAAAAGAATTAAATTATTAAAATATTAATAATAATGGAAAGAAAAAAAAATTAATGTGTAATTTAAAAGTGGGTCTGTTTTGCTTGTCTGGTGAAATCCTAATTTTTTGGAGATTGACATTTTCTTCTTGTTGTGGAGTTTCTTAAATGGTAAGTCCTTATGATACAAGTAAAATGCTGTATTTTACCCCCCTCTTTTTCACAATTTATGGCTCCCATGCCTCCGTTACTTCTTGAATCTTCTTCTATATATATTAAGGGCCCACAATCAATTTATTGATCATTTTGCTCCCTGCTTCAAAAATTTTCCCACCCCTGATCTAAACACAATAAACTTTGTGTACCAATAAAATTCATTTAATAGCCATGAGCTTAATGTTGACTTAAAGGACACACATGTAATTTAATTGACAGTACCTCAATCCCTTTATCTGCTGGCTCAAAACCCAAAACTTTTCCAAAGAAGTAGAACTCGCCATCTAAAGAAGCCTGGATGTTTTCAGCTTGACGGAAGCCATGCTGTTCACCTGTAATTTTCATTGGTACAAAAAAGTATGAGAAGGGAGAGTGACCCTTGGCTAAGATTCTATGAATGTTAAAGGGGATTTTTCTAAAATGAGGTAAACTGATTAGCAGGAATCCAGTTTTAAAGAGATACACAGCTTTATTGGTGTTATAGTCAGTGTGTTTGTTCACCACATGCCGTGGCATTCAACCTTACCTCATCTCCCTACTTCTTTTAAATATTGACTTCAACAATTAAATGTGTAGCGATCTAACATTACACATCCCTCTATTGATTTAGAAAAGGATGTTTACATTCTAATTGGATAGATTCACTAAACACCTTCATGATATTGAACAGGGCAAACTTTCCCCGGCGTCATCCCATTTCAACAGAGATAAACACAAAGGGACATAAGATGTTTCCATCACAGCACTGATTTCCTGCACCAACAGTGAGAGTTAGAAAGGAAAGCAAATTAATTCAGTTTTTTGGGTCACAATATCACCATATGGCATTCATCAAATTATTTCTTATTAGTGAGCCTCAATTTCCCTGTATTTCTTTTCTTATTTCTTATATTTTACATATTTCCAAAATATTTGTTTTCCGTTAAAATCTTATTTTTCACAGTAATAATTCATAAATTCTTTTACTTCCTGTTAGTTTGGTTTGAAAAACCCAACTTCCAGCAATAACAATGATGGAGGGCACTTAAATTTTTTAAACTACTTTCTATTCCTTGTTGTTTCTGCACTTGTCCTGTCTGCTGAGGAAGGCTCTAAGCCGAAATGTTATTTAATTGCCCTGTCTTTCTATTTCAAGCTCTAACTCCCTCCTATAAATAAGTCAACAGCCTTCTCAACTGGGAGAGAGATTTTTGCTAGATTTCCAAGTCACGACTATGCAATGTATTATATTTATAGGAGCATTTCCAGATTTTACTGTTTATGTCTGAGTGCACATTAATATTTGTATCTTTCGAAGATCATTCTTTTTCACTTGCTGTGCTATATGTTAATATAGTTTTTATTTCTGTATATATGACTTTGTATTTTTATATAAATTGAATAGCATAAAAATGAATTGAATATTGTTAACATAACTAGCTTTGGTATCGTTTTTCTTTGTATACTGGTTTTCAGTCCTTTGTGACGTATTGTTCATCCAACAAGCCAAATCTTAAAAAAGATTAAATTTGCAAAACCATATAATGGTACGTAACAATAGGGCTTCATAGAAAGAAATATAGTCTACCCTTTTAAGACATATCAACCAAGATTGTAAAAATTTTATGAGAAATGTGTATCACAGCTGGTAACTGAGTATTTTCGAGAAATAATTTTAAGTAGCTTTAAGAAATTCTCATTCATGATTGCAGGGTAAAGGCTTAGAAATATTACCTTTAAATAACACAAACATAGCGGGCAGTCCCTTATTCTTGACCACGTCATACAACATCTTGGCTTGATTTGGTGGGACAACCTTGGAGAGATGGAGAGATGAAAACTGTGTCTTTATTTTGTCCATGAATGACATGAGTCTCTAGATTGAAATTTTCACAAGTTCTAATATGATCATCTATGTTAAAGACAGTAATGGCATCCACCACATGTTTTTGTATGTTCTCTACTTTCCAACCTTACTGTAGCTCATGGCCATCCTCAGGTTTTACCTCCTAATCATTTTGACCAGGACTAATCCCTTTATTCTTACTGCATAGCAGTAAGGTAAACAAGACATTTAAAAACATTAAGTTCATCCATAGCAGTAAGGTAAACAAGACATTTAAAAACATCAAGTTCATCCATAGTAGTAAGGTAAACAAGACATTTAAAAACATCAAGTTCATGCATAGCAGTAAGATAAACAAGACATTTAAAAACATCAAGTTCATCCATAGCAGTAAGGTAAACAAGATATCTCAAAACATCAAGTTCATCCATAGCAGTAAGGTAAACAAGACATTTAAAAACATCAAGTTCATCCATAGCAGTAAGGTAAACAAGACATTTAAAAACATCAAGTTCATCCATAGCAGTAAGGTAAACAAGACATTTAAAAACATCAAGTTCATCCATAGCAGTAAGATAAACAAGACATTTAAAAACATCAAGTTCATCCGTAGTAGTAAAATTAAGTATTTTCAGAAGCATGGATTTGATTGATTTAAAATTTAGTTTTTAAACACAAATTTTTCAACATGTCATTTGTTGTTTACTGCTTTTATCCTCTTTCTAATTTGATAATGTAGCATTTAGGCTCCTGGACATGAACAAATTGGTTTTGGTATACAAAAATATGAATTAAAAATTATACTAACAATTTTCACTGACAAAATATTTCAATAAACAATAGATACCTTGTCCTCATCCCCTTGAAAGAATCCCATTGGAGTGCTGAGTTTATCAACATGATTAATCGGTGACCTCTCCCTATAGATTTTTCTCCCATTCTCATCGTAAGGTGCGATGAGAGTCTCCAGATATCTGCTCTCAAATTTGTGAGTGTCTGCCATCAACACCTCAAGGTCACTGATGCCAAAGTGACTCACACCTAGATGGACACAATTATTTTAACTCAACGGTACAAGATGCCAAAATGACTCACACCACAGTGGACACAATTATTATTACTCAACAGACAAGTTCAAGGTTAACTAAAAGAAAACAAATCAGAGTAATTTTGTTTTCTCTGGTAAAAAAAAATAATTTAATGTAATTACTTAAGCATTTATTTGTTTTTTTTATTTCCCCTGCTCAAAAATGTCATCATACAGCATAGCCTCATTTTGTTTTTCAAAATAAAAAAGGGATTTTAGAAAAATACACACTGCATTAACTACTGTTCAAGTGAAAGAAAAAAAATATTTTGTTTCCATAGAATGGAATACAGTAGACGAACACAATAGAGGACCACAACACAGAGGATCACAACACATGGGACCACAACACAGAGGATCACAACACATTGGACCACAACAAAGGGGACCACAATACAAAGGACCACACTACAGAGGACCACAATACAGAGGACCACAACACAGAGGATCACAACACACTGTACCACAACACAGAAGACCACAACAGAGGGTCACAACAGAGGGGACCACAACACAGATGAACACAACACAGAGGAACACAACACAGGGGAACACAACAAAGAGGATCACAATACAGAGGACCAACAACACAGAGGACCAATAACACAGATAACAAGACACGCACTGAAACCTTTTTCTAGCTATCTGACATGCAGTATTACACTACATGATACAAAATTAGTATAGCTTTATTTAAAATAATTTTTTTGTAGAGGCTTTCCAACTGGCCACCCAATAATTCAGCGAATCCAGCGTGGGTTATTTCTTAGGTTATACAAATTATAGTTAACCCCTGAAATGGTAAGTTTTTTCTCCTCCCAGAAAAAAAAGTGCCATTTAAGATTGAGAAATTCCAGAAATTGTTGTACTGATTTGTTATTTAGTGGTGATGTTTTAAGACCGTCTGAATCTTTTCGAAAATTACAATACTAAAAACCTGGCAAAAATATCACTTCTTCAGGCTACCACCACAACCAAGTCCTACCCGTTAACAGGATCAGGTGAGCCTTTTGTATGAAATGTTGGGCTAAAAAAAAACACAACATCAGTGTACCGGGTATCATTTTCACGAGAAGCTTGGCACTAACCAACATTGAAGGTGTCTGTAAAGGTCAGGCAGGCCAGAGTGGTGTAGCCTCCAGCTGACCGACCATCAATGCAGATTTGGTTGGGGTCAACCTTGCCACTGGCCACCAGGTGTTTAGCACCTGTACTGCAGTCATCAATATCCAACACTCCCCACCTAAGGCAAAGAAACAAATATAAAAATTGGAATCATTTTCTCAGCAACACAATACTTTTGGGGTTGGCATAAGTTACACTGTTCAAATATTCTGTATCTAGAGTTACAAGTCACCACAAATATGACTGTTCTTTATTTGGATGGCATCAAATAAACATATCGTCCAATGATACTCTTTTGGCATAACACATGTTCTTGAAGTTTTAATTAATCTTTCGTAAAGATTTAACTCCAAATTTAACTAAAATAGAGAATTTAATAGGTCTTATGATAAATGTTGCGTTGTAATGCTGAAATATATTTAACAAATTCCTAAACTTTTAAAATGTATGCAGTGAGAGTGTGGGCCTATGTGTGCCCGCATATTTCAGTGGTCAAGACCGCCCAAGACTCACTGTCCACGGAGCCGGTGCCTGTACTTCTTCCCGTAACCAGTACTGCCCCTGTAGTCAACACAAAGTACAGCGAAGCCTCTGCTGGTGAAGTACTGTAGCTTAAGGTCAAGGCTGACAGAGTATGCACTAGTTGGACCACCATGGGCCCTCACAAGAAGTGGAGGTAATTCACCTAAAGGTTAACAGAATGAAGTAGACATTTCCATTTTGTACACAAACTGAAACAGATGCAACACCTCCACTAATAATAACTGGACATTTCAAGCAATTTCTAAATAACCCTTTCAATTACTTTTATATATATATTTTTTTAATTTTTTTTAAACAGAAATTTTTTTTTTTTTAAATATGATTCAAACTTTTGAAATATGTGAAAGCTTTTCATCAATCATTTCCAAGGGATTCATATTCAGCTTTCTACTATTTCATAAATTGTATAGACCTTCTGGGGCTTTGTAGTCCTTATTGACTGGAGGATAGTACAAGCCATGGGAGGTCTCATTGTTGGTAGTTGGCCAGCTTATTTTCTCTGGGATGCTGAAGTATGCACTGTCAACTTGTGGGGAAGCTGACAAACGGATCACCTCAACCTGGATAAAATAATAATAAGTAAACCACATGGAATATTGAGGATCACATCATAATATCTGTAGACTTTAAAACATAGGAGCCAAAATGATAACTTCATTGATCCTGGGCCCTCAAAATATACAAGAAGAAGAAACATTTGGAGAAAGTGCTTTTCTAATCCATTTTTAGACATGGAAATTCCTTGTCACTGAACAGGTATAAGTACAGGATGTTAAATTTGGTGTCATGTGGTTTTATAGAGAAAAATATAATTGTCTTAGTCCACTGTAACGATCATATATGTGTGGGTTATGATGTTACTTGTAGCTTTGTAGTTATCGCTTACATTATTCATCCACATTTACACTACGTTCATGTTTGTCCAAACAAGTTCCATAGAACTCCTTGAATTTGCATCATGATGTTTATTGACTGATCAACGAACATATAATAAAATAATATCTCTGTAGAGCAGAGTAAAAATATAATTCTTCATATAACTTCTTCCACTTCACAATCAACATTAAGATGCGGTTTAATAACTAGATGACTGTAGCAAGTGCTAATAAAAATATATCTCCAACCGTCACTGTCGGTTCTCTTCCTACCCCATCATTCCTCAACTTTCTAACAAAACCATGCATTATTTTCCAAAACAAATTTGATATCTAAATATTTGATCTGTGACATGCACAAATATACTTTCCCTATGCTTTACAAAGAAATGTTATATATACATGGAAGTACTTACAAAAAAACTTATCTACTTATGGATATTCTTATTCTTGCAGTAATAAATTTTATGCCTTTGAAAGGTTATGTATTTATTCTATTATATCTCTAGTATGGCACAGGTTTCCTAACTATCCTACCAAAATGAACGGAAATGAGAAATATAATGTCCCAGGATAACACCATGATATGATATTTACCAACATAATATACAAACTGTTCCATTTGCTGAAATGGAATACTAAATCATTTATGAATTACTATTGTATAAAATTCTAACACCTATCAAATAAGACTATCCCAAATGTCTATTGCTGACTGCTGACCTGCTCTGTACTGATGTTCAGCCGGATGAGTTGTGGGAATTTGGAAGCACTGTAAGCTATGCAGTAAATAAATCCATCAGCAGTCCAACCAAATTTGTCATGCACGGACAGTCCTGTCTCTATCTTTCTGTAAGATTTATTTCTTGTGTCCAGAATGCCTAAGTCCTGTTAGAAAATATTTAATGAAAAAAATATAAAAACAAAAGAATTCTGCAGCAAACATAATTATTTTGCAGCTAAGTGCTATTTTTATGTAATTTTTTTTTTACTGTTGTTTGTTCACTGATGATGGCTTCCTGCTGACACACTCATCGTTTTGTAACGTTCCTTTTTTATATTTTGTCATTTCTTTTTTAACAGGATTTTCTCGAGTATTAGTATCAACCAAATCAGCATTCTAAACCTATTGAAATGAAACCCTTTTTTTTATAGCAGTTACCAAATCTAATGATCACTAAGTAAGTCATTATGTCACTAAGTGATTTAAATTTATTTATTTTTAGCTTATGCCTGCTTATTTAACTCTAGAGAATACTTAAATACTTATTTATTTGTGTGCTGAAATTGAACATGTACAATGTCATAAAACAACATTTCCATTTATTTGGATCAATAAACAATCTTACCTTATTATTTAGTTGATTTTCATTAATTAAAACGGGGCATCATTTTTATCCCAAACACAAAAATGTTTATTTTAATTCATGGAAAATAAGTTTGACACAATTAAGAATTTTATGCTGTTGATTGACTCTGTGGTGATACATTTCTTAAGGGATTGTTGAACACATTTTCAAAATTTGCTTACAATTTACAAATGGCCACATCTCAGATATTAATGTGAAAATACTTTCTTTGTACACAGGCTGCCACCCAAAAAATCTGGTGGCTCTTGCTCTTTATAAATCGTCATTCTAATTTCTGGTATTTTGTTCTGTATAATGCAGTATGCAGATGTCTGCAACGCAAAAAAGGGGTGTGTGTGTGTGTTGTTAAGCCACATGTGGACAAGGGTTAGGGTGTGGAAAGGATGCATATTTCTTTTGCACATATTTTATGAACAAACCCCTAGGCTACGCCTTTTCAATAAAGGCATTTTAATTTCAAACAGATTAGTTTTTTGTTCAATATAAAATCTAAATGATATTTATGTTTGATTGTTTTCACTAAGTTGTGAGAATAAGATTGTTATTTTAGGACTCTTATCCTGTCTTCTACAGCCGCACGTTTTACAACGTTTGAAGGAGGAAGGGCGCCAAAATTTATTATTTTCTGGGGTGCCTAAATGACAGATTATGAAAGTCTCCTTGTAGATATTATGAGGTAAAATGTTGAAAAACTTATTGAAAATCAGTGTTTTGCCTAAGTTTCCACATTTCAGAGACACCATGTATAATAAAAATAATAACAGAAGAAATCTCCACCAACCCCTTTGAATGATGTGACAATTCTGCTTCCACCATTAGGCTCAAGTGCATATGAAGCTTTACCAAACTGCCTTTGTGGGCCACCTATTTCTGCATTGGTTTCGTGCAGATTGATGTCTCCTATTTCAGCTCTCTGATACAAATTCCACCAGTCGGTCTGGTCTCCTATGTACAGAAGCTCATTGTTGGCAGTCCAGGATGGCTGCATGACACTTAAATCTTGCCCTGTGGCATCTTTACCTCCAACAACCTTCATGTTAGAAATAAAAATATTTTGAAAAGTTTAGTTGAACAAAAAAAGCTTTGATATGCTGTTTGTAAGATAACAGTTTATTTTTAACTAAAGTAACTGATAAATTTATGTCAGGTAAATGTTAAATTTAACCAAAGTAACTTTGATTGGATATCTGCAAAGTACCACTGTCATGTTAAAACAAAAAACACAAATATTATTATTTTATTGCGTACATTCATTTGGGATTAAACAAATTTTTAAAATCATGAAATAAATAAGTTTTCTCAACAAGTATCCATTGACATAAGGTGTGTAAGTCAAGGGTTTTAAATAGATCCATGTGAAAACATTTAAAAAATCATTTAAAAACATAATAAAATCAAAGACAAATTGAATAGAGTAAGGAGGTCAAGGGGAACTTACTTTTTGAGCACTTCCTTTAACAATCTCTGTGCCAGATGGAGATAATTCTGCTACCCATATTTCAGTGCTGTCCCATGGCTGGGATTTTACAATTAAAAAAAAGGTAACTCAGTGAAGACAAGGAAATTGAAAGACTCTTAAATTACTATATAAAATATTAAAATAAATAAACTCATGTGCCATACTAGAATGTTAACATTACAATAATTGTTGTTCTAAAAATAGCCCAATCTCATTGAAACCATTTCACATCTTGACAACAGGATTGAAGAGATAAAAAAAACTGTTGAGTTGGATCATAATAAAATATTTAACTTCTGTTTAAATTTACCATATTGGGATGAAACCATTGAACCCATACAATCTTTTTCCCATCTGGTGATACTTTAGGACTGGAGTGAAAATCAGCTCCACTCACCTAAAACAAAATAGATTTTATAAATTAGGAACATTTTATTTATGATTGTGCTACTATCCAACAAGGAAAAACATTTCAAAAGTATGTGATCCTTTTTTTTTTCATTTGTATGAGAAGACAACTCCAATCCACATTCTTCTTTACTTTGTTTCTGTCTGGCTTTTTTTTGCCCACTCCTATTTTATCTCCCCCTTTTTAGGTAGGATATATATATATATTAATTATTTAAATTTAATTTATACTTAATTAATTGGGTTTTTTTGTTGTACAGATGAAGGCATGTGCCAAAACGTATACTTGTTTATTATGTAAAATTATTATTAAAGCTTAACTCATATTGTTATATTGACACAAATTGTTCGTATCTAATTAATCTATTTTAAAGCTTTATCGCAGTCCAACACTTTTTATAATTTGTAAAATATTAAAACAGTAACACTCTCAATTTTTGACACAGAAAAAATATTCAAACCAACTACATAGGGATGTTTGACAGGCTTAAACAAACAACATTGCATCACATCTCTAGAACATACAGCAGGTCAAACATTGTGGCATGGCATCACATCTCTAGAACATACAGCAGGTCAAACATTGTGGCATTGCATCACATCTCTAGAACATACAGCAGGTCAAACATTGTGGCATGGCATCACATCTCTAGAACATACAGCAGATCAAACATTGTGGCATGGCATCACATCTCTAGAACATACAGCAGGTCAAACATTGTGGCATGGCATCACTAGAACTACAACAGACAATGGGTAAAATAACTGTGTCTCTGCATTAAATACCACATGCTGCAAATAAAACTATAAACCACATTTAGAATTTCTTAACCAAAATGTCTGATTACAAGACTTACAAGCACAAACTGTTCTTTACTATCTGGGTTGATTGCCACAATGGTGTTCTGGGCTTCTTTTGCTCCTGCTTTCACAACATCATGGTCTTCTCTCACAATGTAGATCAGGGATTTCTAGGGATTAAATAAATCTTCACTGACAATCATAACACATTTTCATTAAAATTGGGCTCATCCATATATGTTGTGGGCAAACGAAACAGATTATCTTCATTAGAGAAGTAAATCAACTACTTTATGGACCTTCAAAATTTCAGGATAATTATTGCAAAATTTGTGCATAAATATATGTACCTATTCTACCAAGACAAACACACAAGTAAGTAAAATCTCTCAAATAACACCCCCCCCCCCAAACCCCTCCACCTTTAGTAGGTACTCAATGCGTAGCCCCTTTCCATTTGATAGGTTTTCAGTTAACAAATATTTCATTTGATGCTTTCAATGATTATATTTTAATGAATAACATGTTTATTTTCCTTTGCTCTGTCCCTGAAGAAATGATTCGGCTTTGGCTGTAAAACATCTAAGTGGATAAACTAAGCTTTTTTGAAGTTTTAGCAATTATCATTTCAATATTAGACCTTCACCTTAGGTGACCACTGGCCATCCGCATAGCGATATTTTTTAGTGACATCGGTCACAGCCTCGGGAGCTGCTGCTGGGCTGGTCTGGCGATACAATGCTTGGTCCTGAAAGTTTGAGAAGTAGACCACACCTTGATACACAAAGAAATCACCACCTGAAACAAAAGACAATAGAACTATATAAAGTTCTGTGCAAATGCTGTCAATGAAAACATTTCCTCACAAACTAGTGTTTATAATGTTCAACATTTTCAAATGAGAAAGAGAGATTATAACCAAAAGGCATAAAAGCTTTAATATGCCAAGAAATTTAATTTTCCTACAAATTGTTCATTTCCAAATTTCATCGAAACACTATACCTTATACAAAGGAGGGTAAATCACGGCAAGCCTATAATTAGATGGTGAAACTTTCTGTACAAAATAACCTGTTACAATTTTCTTTAAATACAGCTGCCTTTTTAAAAAAAAAAAGAAAAAAGATTCCTTGTTTCTATTTGTATTACTTAGTTCCAGTCCATCCCCTTCATAAAAATAAAATATATGGGATTACAATAATGCATTCATAAAATCTGACCTCCATACTCATGAACAGTTGACCGAGCGTTTAAGTCACTTGGGGTCCACTGGGTTTTCTCTCCAGGTTTATTTGACGAGCAGATAACATAGCGACCTTTTTCATCAAAGTGAATCTCGTTCCAGTATACTGTGTCTGAAATAAACACCAAGCAATAATTTAAAGAGATGTTTGCATAGTAATAGCAAGTAGTTTGGGCACTGTGACAGTGTGGTAGTCCAATGTTCAACCAACTTTATTGAATGTAAATAAAATTGACATGGGGAGTTGGCTAGACTATTTTATTGACACATGCAAAAATACAGAGCATTGTATGTGAAACACTGTATGTAAGGTAGCGCCAGGCAGAGAATATGTAGACCATAAGCTATATTTATCAGTTTGGTTCTTGCTCAACTCAAACCCACCCCAAAAAAATTAAAAGCTATCTTGCACCAAATAGTTGAGACAGGAATTTCATCAAAAGCCCTCCCTTGATGATGGAGTGGGTGGGGAGGAGATGTTATGGTCAAAGCCCTTTGCTAATAACTCAAGAGCCTAAGCCACTGAATTTCTCTTAAGGTACGTTTACACTGCAAATTTATTTCTTAGATTCTCAATCGGGTTGGCTGTTGCAATACAAGTCGTGAGATTTCTGAGACCACGTGCTACTAGAGGTAACAAAAAAATGGGGCCAACAGGTTTAATTGTCAGCGATTTGATTTTCTTAGAGTCGGCGATTTGATTTTATTAGAGTCGGCGATTTGATTTTATTAGAGTCGGCGATTTGATTTTATAAGAGTCGGCAAGACAAGAAAAGATTTTAGGGGAACAATGTTTTGTTTTAAAAAGAGGTATTAATTTTTTTTAATTTTCCCTGGCATTGCATGGGTGGTTATTGGTAAAGTCATAGTTAAAGAAACAAGCTGAATTCATTCATATAAAAAAAACCCACATGCAGTTTCAGTTTGCTGACTTCTGTGCTTGCACATATTGATAAATATATAATATATACAGAAGTTCTGCATAGTTGTGCCTGCTCAGTGTGAACACCTACATGGGAAATCCCTGTCAGCTTGGATATAAACAAATATCAGTGGATCTCAAAAGGGATTCACCATTGAGCTTTGTGGGTGCAACAAATACACATTGTTAACGCACTGTTATCAAAAGGAGGGAGAATAGACTTATTGGCCCAATAAATGAATGTAGACAAAATGCACAGATAATTTTGAAATTGTGCGATATATCGTATTGAAATTGACATTATTTTTTCAGCAGCTTTGTTTGTTATAAGCGCAATGGATGAACCAATAATGTATTTTGTTGTAAATTGTATGTAATTTACCTGAGAAATTTGGATCCCCATCAACATTCAAAACGAGCAGATCAACACCACTTTCTGTGGTCATTTTACTCGAGATGGGTGACTTCCAGGTTCCATATCTCGCGACTTGCATTTTCAATAAGTTTTCCTTCCTAAAAAAAAAACAACTTTTATCTTTTCATTTTAGATCAATTGTACTTAATTTTTCTACTGCTTTTCTGTAGTAATTTTACTTTTAGCACCCTTTTCAGTTTTGAATTGTCTGGCTTTGTACATTCAGGTCAACATATGATCCAAGACCAGGACATTGCTTGTTGAAAATATCCATCTTAACGTCCATTTGGGTAAGGATGTTAAATTTATAAGCTGCAAAAAAGGCCATCTGGTTCAATGTTTTTTTTTTTGTAGGTGCAATGAGCCATTTGTTTTAAATAGCTGCACTGGGTCTTTTGATTATTGTCTAAACAGTTCATCGGTAGTCCTTCCAGGTTTTAACTAATGTAGCATGTAATAAGGAGTCTTGTAGGAACTCAAGCTCCCTGTTTCATGCACTTCAATCCCTTTTTTAAAATAAAAAACAGCTTCTCTTCTCACCTCTCTCCAAATATTCAAAACAGACAATGTGGCATGTTCTGATCATGCATGATACCCAGAGGCGTACCTTGATTTAATTCCCATTGGGTGAACTCCCAAACTTGCGCCCCCCCCCCCCCCCCCCCCCCCCCCCCCCCCGAAACCCACTCACATGTATTGTACAGGATTGGGCCACAAAAGAGGAGCCCACTTCCAGCAATAGCGTAGCAAGATGAACGAGCAAAAAGGTTTGCTTTTATTCACTTACCCTCAAGTTGCAGCAGATGCTGGGGACTACTTTCAGTGAATATGTGAATAAAAACAATACGTTTTGAATGTTCAGCTTGCCGTATTATCAACCTCCCTGAAAAATGTTGTAAATATTTTTTTTAAATTACCGCCCAGGGCTTCGCCCCACTTAGATATGCAGCTGGTGACACCTGCTCTCACAAGTAAGAATTATGGTAAGCCTAAGCTTAAGAAAGATAAAACACAGTTATTTCTTATTTTGTTTATTATTCCTGAAAAAATTTATATTTGCAATAATCATCATGATCAATGTCCCATGATGTCATATCCAAGCCAAAGTTGAAATGACGGGTATTTCAGTGAAGTCAATCTAAACGTTACATTATTGATTAATGCAGTAACACTGTCATTACTTGACTTTGACTACACGAACATGACACAGTCATTACCTGACTAGACCCACATGACCAGTCATTACCTGATTACAATTACACACACATTTTTTACACACAGTTATGGAACATTTATTAAGATTTATCATGCCAAATTTAAAACTTTTAACACATCATACTATGACTATGGTTCTAATGGTATCTCTAATACGTAGGGCCTATACTATAAATGAAAGTATATTAATAATTAATAATAATAATACCCTGATGACTGATGAGAATAGTATTTTAGGCCCACTTGCCTCCACATTACTTACACACAATTTCTTAATTTCTGTAGACGTTCACTCAAGTAGTCAGTAGTACCCAGACCCAAGTATTGAGTCAAATGTGAATTCTGTGAGATTAATAATAGACTTAATAGTCAATAGTCCTACTCAATCATTATGCATTACTTACTCTGCGGTCAGTGAGGTAGTTTCATTGAGCCCCGTCAATGAATCAAAATCAATCAATTAAATTTAAATTTAAATATCGTGACTGGACTAGGAAATACTATTTTCCTGTTAATGTAACTTATTAAGTTTCCCCGAAAAGAACCACATATTACTTGTCAAATCTGAGGGTCATGTCTGGTGTGAACTCTGATCTTTGACCCCCTACAACTAGAAGTTTGTTTACATAATAATTATTTGGCTGTCCAAATACTATCTATACTTTAACTTTAGGGAAATAATAATAAAAACACCTATAAAACTTAAAAAAAACAAGACAAACTCGCAACCTTTGGAATAAACAGGACCAGGGTTGGAAGATAATTAAGGCAAGGCGAAAATTGCTAGCTGAAATTAGTAATTAGTGAAATAGTAGGACTAAGGTATGAGGCATCTCTTTCTTGGGACAAATTAATACAGTTTTGGAAACGCAACGCAACTAGTGTCTACTGTCTAACGGTAACCGTTACTTTATTGTGACGGTAAACTGAAAGCACTAAAAGCTAAGTACACCGCAAACCCAAACGTTTTCACAGAATGCGTTTATTGCCTTGGGGGTCATCCATTAATTACCTCAACAATTTTTACGCAATTTTAGACCCCTCCCCCCACCCCCTGTCCCAACTGTCAAACTTTCAGCTTTTTGGGCAAAATCAAAACTTGGTCGGCTTGTTAAGTTGTTTATTACTGAGGCGACACAGTGCATAGCAATTTAAATAAAACCTGCAAAATAGGGGGTGGGGGCAAAGTCCCCCTCTGCCCTACCCAAATGGTGTCCCTGATGCCCATTTTTACGATACAGCAGCACCTGGCTATTTCATGGGAAGATGATAGCAGCTAGAAACTCTACTATAATTGTCAATGATTATTTAATGAAAATAATCATATTTATACTTCCACAAACAATTATATTTAGTCTTTAACAACCTATTAATTTATTCTGCATGATAAAATTTTAGTGTAAAAACTTTTTAGCTTGTTGATTAACAAGCTAAACATGTATAATAAAATTATTTCTCTACAATTATTGCATGTGTCATTTAAATAGATCAGCACAAAGTAAAATGTATTTATAAATTTATTTATATGATAATTCATTTTTGGGGGTGGGGGTATAAAATGTTGACATAATTAAATAGAGGGTCATCGAAAGTTTGACAGTTGTGGACAAGGGGTGAGGGAGGGGTCGAAAATGCGTAAAAATTGTTGATATAATTAATGGACGACCCCAAAGCTCTCTCTGTCTCCTGGCAGCTACTCGCATTGGTCGAATCCTTGGTTGAGTAGCAGGTGGTAATTTCTTATGCTGAAGAGGGCATTGTCATTGCTGTTAAACATGCTTTTTTCAACATGACTTGTGATGCAACATAGATGTTACAGATTTTCAAATCCGTTCAAGCAGTGATGTTATTATTCTTAATCGCTTTACTTTCCCCTAATTCTCAAAATATTGTATGCCTACTCTAACTCTAACAATATTTGTCTTGCCTTCACATGACACTAAGGTGATGACACCTAAAAATTATATTACTATTTACACTCATTAATATAAAAAAATAATGTAATTATAATGTCAATTTTAATTTAATAGAGAAAACGTGATAATTGACGTCAACCCTTGTCAACAACTGTAAAACAATTCCACCCACCCCCCATTTTGTTGACATAATTAATGGACGGCCCATTGACAGTAAATTTTATGTTTTTATTATTATATGCTACAAACTAAGTCAACTATTTAATCATCGTTGATTTCAAGTTATAACGTTTGCGTGTCCAGACTCCACACATCATAACTGGAGTTTCTCTCGTGCATCCAGTCGGTCTAAATTTAAAAAAAATATATTTTTGGTTAGATACTTGAATTACGATTTATATTGTACAATCACGACAACCCTCATTATTTGCCTCATGACAACCCTCATCCTTTGCCTCATGACAGCCCTCATCCTTTGCCTCACGACAACCCTACTTCTTTTTCACCGGGTTTTGGGCGGGCCATGGCAGAGTTGCACACCAATATGTTTCATAGTAACTCCAGATAGTTCCACACACAGGTCACAGGGGTTGAATAGCTTGTCATAGTAACTCCAAGATAGTCCCACACACAGGTCACAAGGGTTGTATAGCTCGTCATAGTAACTCCAGATAGTCCCACACACAGGTCACAGGGGTTGTAAAGCTCGTCATAGTAACTCTAGATAGTCCCACACACAGGTCACAGGGGTTGTATAGCTCGTCATAGTAACTCCAGATAGTCCCACACACAGGTCACAGTGGTTGTGTAGCTCGTCATAGTAACTCCAGATAGTCCCACACACAGGTCACAAGGGTTGTATAGCTCGTCATAGTAACTCCAGATAGTCCCACACACAGGTCACAGGGGTTGTATAGCTCGTCATAGTAACTCCAGATAGTCCCACACACAGGTCACAGGGGTTGTAAAGCTCGTCATAGTAACTCCAGATAGTCCCACACACAGGTCACAGGGGTTTTGAAGCTCGTCATAGTAACTCCAGATAGTCCCACACACAGGTCACAGGGGTTTTGAAGCTCGTCATAGTAACTCCAGATAGTCCCACACACAGGTCACAGGGGTTGTATAGCTCGTCATAGTAACTCCAGATAGTCCCACACACAGGTCACAAGGGTTGTATAGCTCGTCATAGTTACTCCAGATAGTCCCACACATAGGTCACAGGGGTTGTATAGCTCGTCATAGTAACTCCAGATAGTCCCACACACAGGTCACAGGGGTTGTAAAGCTCGTCATAGTAACTCCAGATAGTCCCACACACAGGTCACAGGGGTTGTATAGCTCGTCATGGTAACTCCAGATAGTCCCACACACAGGTCACAAGGGTTGTATAGCTCGTCGCAATGTCAATGTTGATCCAGCAGATGCCGGGTAAATATTGCTGTCAGTTCTCAATGTTTTCTTTTTTGTTTTTCACTTTTAATTTGAGGCTTATTCTAGTAACAAGAACTATCAAAATATTAATTTCAACTCTATTAATGCACAAAATACCTTCGAAATTGTGCATTTAAAAAAAAAATTTTTTTGAAAATATTTAGTTGACTCCAATAATTAATATTGGGAAAAATTATTTTGGTTTAACGCCTGCTTTAGTATTCGAGCTAACTTTTTGGAACAAAGCAGAGTCGCCATTGTACCGTATATTACATTAGGGGGTTATACAATAAGGATGTCTAAATAACACTCGCCTGCTGCTCGTTTGACTATTCAGTTGAAATGATTTTTTCATGTTCTCTTCTTTAAAAAAAAAAAAATCCTATGTGGCAGTGTAGGCCTCGCTTTTATGAAACAATGTTTAGCGTCCAACAATGTGCAGAATTCGACCTCGGGGTTAGAATATCAAAACATGGCATGGACGTTCTTTCCCCAATCACTTAGAATTAGAATACTTAAATATTGGGAACCACTATGAGTGCTTTTGGTATCCAGGGTTACTTTCAGCTATATCTTCTCGGGGGAGGGGGGGTTATTGGGAACCACTATGAGTGCTTTTGGTATCCAGGGTTACTTTCAGCTACATCTTCTTGGGGGGGGGGGGGGGGGGGACTTAAATGTTGGAAACCACTATGAGTGCTTTTGGTATCCAGGGTTACTTTCAGCTATATCTTAGGGGTACTTAAATATTGGAAACCACTATGAGTGCTTTTGGTATCCAGGGTTACTTTCAGCTATATCTTCTCGGGGTGGGGGAGCACTGCCCCCCCCCGGGAAAGCCAGGTGCCCCACGGAGCAAAAATATGTCCAACAATAAATGAACTGGCACTGCTGACACTGCTGGCCCTGCATCTGAAGTGCCCCCCCCCCCAACTGGGGAAAAATTTCTGAAATAATCACTGTTGGTATCAATCTATCCCTGTGGCGCTACAGCCCATGAAGGGTTTTGGCTTGCCTCACTACTTCCTTCCACTCAGACCTAACTGATGCTTTTCTTTTCCATGCTTAGATTCCCAGTTGTATATCTTTATCCACATCATCCATCCATTTAAGCCTAGAACTGTCTTTGAACCGTTTTCCTTTGAGGTTTTGGGGGTGCACCCTCTTCACTCCTTTGTCATTTGGCATTCTTTCTAAATGTCCTGCCAAGCGTAGCCTTTCTTTTTTTTTCTTTATTTCTGCTATAGGCGTGGGATCCTGATATAGACTGTACAATACCTGGTTGGTTCGTTTTCTCCATCCATATTCATCCGTTGTCAGTCCATATATTTTCCGAAAAAACGGTTCTCTCCCATGTGTTTAACAGGGCCATATCACTGCATGACCCTATCGTCAACAAGAAACCCACCAAATAGAGCAGATCTTTCAGTCAAACAGAACATTACTCAACGACATATTTTAGAACATGATTGACATTACAACTCAAACTTTAAGACAAAAATTAAAAAAGAAAACTGCTTAAAAATACAGATTTTGCTTAATTTATTTAAATTTTTTTTCAGAACGTATCCTTTTGTCACATTCTGTGAAATACTTTTTTTAAAAATATTTGATTCTTTACATTTTATCTGATAAACTACTCAACGAAGTTCCAAGTATTTTATACATTGGTATTTTATTCAAGATTTCATCTAAGTCAGGGGTGTCAAACTCAATCACTAAGCGGGCCAAAACTCAAATCAAGCTTAAGGTTGCGGGCCAAACAGGATAAAATTAAACCTTTTTAAACATTAATATAAATTAAAGCACAGAAAAGTTTTGATAATAAAAAATCATTGGCAAAATCATTTTTCGATCTCATGCCAATTTGTCTGAGCTGGATGTTTGGTATCTTTTCTTGGCTACAAGCTCGTTTATGTCGGGAGTACTGTTCTGTGTCTTTGAGATTCTCACGATGGACTGAAACTGTTCATCGGTGAGACGACTCCTTTGTGATGTTTTGTTAACCTTCATCACAGAAAACAGCTGCTCACACAGATATGTGCAACCAAACATGCTAAAGTAAGGTTCGAACCGCATGTAGACGAATCTGGGGCATCTCTTCAAGAATGAAACGAGTGAACTGCGCAGGCCCCACAGTGTCGTACTTTGCCTTTAGTGTTCCATTACACTACAGCTCTTTAGCGCCATCCGCAAATTTAACAGGTGCAATTTCCATGTCTATGCCTAATGGGTTACTGTAGTGGCGA